CGCTTATGCGACGGACGAAAGTCCACCCAGCGACTCCCACACTGTCGCAGGCGACCATTTCAGCGAGGGAGGGAGGGAGGGAGGGTTTTCCCCTCCGCTCCTTTGCCAGCGGCCATCTCGCGAGTTCGATGCCCGCAATTTCCCTTCCGTGTCGGATGGAAAAGATCGCGTCGTGTCGCGAGTCAGGGCGTCGCGTGGATGAGTGCGGGAAACTCGGAACCGTTTGGAGAGTGCGCTTTTTCCTCCTCTGCCCTCCCTACAGCAATCCCTTCCCTTCACCACCACCCTCCCTTCTCCACGCCATGCTCAGAGGCTGCACTGTACTGTGTAGCCATCGAGTCGAGCTCACTGCTCTTCTGTTTCTACTGTACCAGGAGACCGAACCAGAAGGAACGGGCCAGCGAAGACGAAAGTGACGATGACGCAAGCACACTGAGCATCCACCCAAGTCATATGTGGAGCTGAGGTTTCTAGATGCCACATATTGAACCATCCCAACACCCGGCAGAAATAAAACCGTCTGTGTGCCGAGTAGATAGAGGAAGCAAGAGTGAGTCTCTTCAGGTTAGGTTTCTTCCTCGGCCCTCGCTAGTAGTCTAGGACAGCTGGTCGCTTTGTTAACTACTTTCAAGCTGCTCGACGCAACTACTCCTCTAGTTGCGGTTGACTTCCTCTGCCTTCAGTAGCTGAAGCTAATACGCTCCTTCAACTCCCTTCAACTGCTCGCGTCGTAATCACCACACCTCGCAAGTACCAATCGCGCTCGTCCCGGCTCCTCCAGAAGCCTGTGTTTCAAACCCCGTGCAGCTCTTGATTCCGCGCTCAATTCTCTTCTCCTCGGCCACGAAGCACCATTCAGCGATCGTCCGCCAGATCAGGCATCTCACACGCAATATTAGTCCGACTATCCTTTTAGATTCCACTTACTAACCCCAACAGTCCCCCCAGCAGTGTTCGACTCCGCCCCCTTAAAGCCCTGCTCCCGCTCCCCCGTCCGTGAGCAAGCAGCGGGAGGGAAAGGCGAGCGCAACTATGGGTGCAGCTATCGCGCTGGTGGCCGGAGGCGCCTCAGGGGGAAAGGCGGGCGCGAGCGCGAGCGCGCGCAAGCGGCACGGCGTTCTAAGTCACCCCACCTGGTTTCGCCGCGCGCAGTCGCTCGGTCGCCTGTGGTGGGCGCTGCTCCCGCTGCTGCTCGTCGTGACGCTTATCACTCACGGCGAGCTGCTCGCTTTCCTCTTCCTCCGCATTTCCCCCCATCCCATTTCCGCGTCTTCCGCCGCGTCGTCCCCTCCTTCCGCCTCCGCCGCAGCCGCTGGGGTAATCAGACCCTTCCGACAGGGCCTCTCCACTTTCTCCGACGCTATTTCCGCCGCAGCCGCCGGCGTTTCCCTTCCGTCTGTTGGCGGAATCGCGTGGGCGTTCGCGGTGGCTCTTATTCGCGGCGTGTGCGAGCCGATAGCGGCGCTACTGCTAATCGACTCGCTGCTGCTCACCCTCTCCGGCCTCGTGCTATGGCACAGGGCGCGGCGGCAAGACTGCCTGCGGGCCGCAGCGGCAATTAAAGCCCGAACTAGCGCTCCAGGGAAACTCGCCGCAGCAGCCGGAGGTAACGGAGAGCTGAGTCCGGTCGCTGGTAGTGGTGATCTGTGGGAGGAGAGCTGTGCTCAGTTTGCCATGACTAGAAGCAGCAGCGGCAACAGCATGGCGGTAAACCTAGGCGCCGTCGCCGCCACCGCTGCCGGCTGCGACTGGGATGGCACGGCGGCCTCCGCCGCGTCCGGCGGCGCGCTCTCCGCAACGTCCGTGTGGCCGTCGGTGCTGGTGCAGCTGCCCATGTACAACGAGCGCGAGGTCTACGCGCGCGCGATCGACGCGGCGTGCAACCTGCAATGGCCGCGCGGGCGCCTCGTGGTGCAGGTGCTCGACGACAGCACGGATGAGGAGGTGTCGCGCGGAATGCGCGCGGAGGTTGCGCGGTGGCGGAGCAAGCTGGGGTGCGGGGGCGCGAGCAAGGGCGCGCGGAACAGCATGGGCGGAAGCGTCGACGTGCAGTACCGCCACCGCACGGTGCGCGCGGGGTACAAGGCCGGGAACCTCCGCGAGGGCCTCACGGAGCCGTACGCGCGCGCGTGCGCATTCGTCGCAATTCTCGACGCGGACTTCGAGCCTTCCCCCGACTGGCTCCTCCGCTGCGTGCCCCCGCTCGCGCGGGACCCGCAGCTCGCGCTGGTGCAGACTCGCTGGGCGTTCAGTAACGAGTCGGAGTGCCTACTAACGCGTCTGCAGGCCGTGGAGCTCAAGTGGCACTTCCTAGCGGAGCAGCTCTTCAGCTCATCCGCGTTACAGTGCTTCGGGTTCAACGGCACCGCGGGCGTGTGGCGCACGGCGGCGATCGCGGACGCGGGGAGTTGGAGAGACGATACAACCGTTGAGGACATGGATATTGCCGTGTGCTCCGCCGCGAAAGGGTGGCGCATGCGGCTCGAGCCGACCGTGGAGTGCGCCAGCGAGGTCCCCGCGGAATACGGCGCGTACCGGAAGCAGCAGCACCGCTGGACGAGCGGCCCCGCGAACCTGCTGCGGCTGCGCGGCGGCGCCGTGCTCACCGCCCCGCGATCGGTGCTGAGCTGGCCCGCGAAGTTGTACTTCGTGGGGGTCTACATGTTTCTTCGCCGGGCTGCCCGCCACCTGATCGGAATCGTCTTCTGGCTGGTCGTCCTGCCCCTGTACCTCCTCTCCTCCGCGCTCCCCTCCGCTTCCCCCGCCGCTTCCGCTTCCGCCTCCGCGTTCCCCTTCCCCTGGGCAATGGCGGCGCTGGTGCTGGTGTACCCGCTGTGCCTGTTCGCGTTCTCCCCAGGAAAGCTCCGCCTGCTCCCCGCGTACTTCCTCTTCCTCGGCGCGCTGCTCCCGCTACGCGCGTACGCCACGGTGGCGGGTCTGCTCAACCTATCCAGCTCGCACACGTGGGACGTGACGCAGAAGCTGGGCCGGCGCGGCGCGAGCAGCGGCGCAAGCAGTGGTGCGGAGGGAGAGGAGGAGGCGGAGGGGGAGGAGGAGATGAGCGAGGAGGAGGTTCAGCTGAGTGGGGGCGACACGAGTGAGGAAGAGGAGGAGGAGGCAGAGGAGAGGGAAAAGGAGAGTGAGAGTGATCTTGGGGAGCCTCAGAGGCGATTGCGGTTGAAGCTGCCCAGCAAGGGAAGCCGTGAACCTTCCATGTCATCAGCAAGCTCTTTCTCGTCCTTCTCCTCCTCCTCTTCTGGTGCGCCCTCCCTCTCCTCCTCCACCACCTCCTCTGCTCCTTCCTCCCCTGCCCATCTCTCCCTGCAACCCATGTCTCCAAAAGTTAAGTCCGTGTCTCTCTCGCCACCGTCCACGGCAGCAGCAGTAGCAGCAGCGCTGGCAGCACAGGGAGCAGCTGTGAGAAAAGCTGCAGCCCTGTTTGTGCCAGAGGTGCTGTTTGGGGGCTATCTTATGGTGGTTGCTGCTGTGGTGGTGGGAGTGAAGGGGCTGGCAGCGTTGACAGGTTCAGGGGAAAGCTCAGGAGGTGCTGCTTGGTGGTTGACCACCGGGCTAGTGGCCTTGCAAGGGGGGTGGGCAATCTGGGCTGGGTTGGGGAATTTGGGGGTGAGTGAGTGAGCCAAGAATGGTGAGTCTCGCGCTATGCTTCACAAATGCATGGGACTGGAGCAAGGTGGCACCTGAGCTGCTGGTGTGTGGGTTGGCATTGGCATGTAAACGCCATGTTCTTGTGTGAGGTAGTAACCTAGAAAAGGTGCCTTCTGCATGCACCAGTAGTGCGGGGAGAAGAGGCTGGAGTGAGAACCAGCCTAGCACCTGATAAATTAACGTGCCAGTCTATTGGTTTCTGTAGCGTTTGGCGTGGCTCAAAGTGATGCTATGCCATGATTTATATAGCTTCCTTGTAACAACCTTTTATAGGATTCTTTGTGTTTTTAATATTGATGTGTAACGTCTAGGTTTTGTCTAGATACTGACTATTCAGAACACGATGTACATTCCGCGAATACATGGACGTGATCTTTGTTTTATACAGTACCTTCTTCAGCATCACCATTTGCTCCCATTGTATCGGACCGTTTGTGCTGAGGTTGCAAATTTCTTGCGGAAGAGTGGCTGCGGAAAACGCCCTTCGGCAGGTGGCACCATCTGGTGCCTCATCCACTCCGACACGATGGCTGAAAAGCCAGTTGGGATAAGTCGAAAGATACTGGCAGAACCGACATGGATTGCGTGCTGACGTCAAACCGCAAAGGGCACATGCCAGGTAAGCAGGCTGCTGCCATTGACCCTTGGATTTCCTTTTGGACCTGCCGTGTCGTTCCCTGACTCGCGGGCTGACCCTTTCTCCTCACCACGTGGAATTCCGCTGCCTAAAAGTACCAGGTGCCTATTCCATCCAGTCAGGCATAGCCACGCGGGTAGACTCATCAGCAGCTGCCTGGGCGGGCAGCAGTACATCCAGATTCCCTAGGAGCAATTCTCAAGGCGTTAGAGCTTACTGAAATGTGTCAGGCAGACGGATTTGGTACCGAATCTCAAGGGACCGAGGCAATAACAACGAGACAGGAGGGAGGGAATACCTCACAGCGCGAGGGAGAGCGAGAGAAAAGAGAGAAAGAGAGAGAGGCGATAAGTATCCTGCTTAGGTGAGCAACACCATTACTGTGTTGCTTGCCATGCCAATGGCATGAAATGCCATGGAGGAATTGGTGAATCCTGTTACTGTAGGTGCTAAGCTAGCCGCCCAGGAACCATGGCCAGTCCACTGCAGGTGCAGCGATTTGCAAGCGAGAATCGCTAGGAGGATGTATCAGATGAAACCGTACCGTTCAGTAATGTCGATCGCGTAAATACATGCCATAATCACTTTAAGGACGGTACTTTGCCTGATCAGCGAGCAGTGTCCGCTGCTCTATTAGTCTAGCGTGTGCTAATTCAGCTTCAGCATTTGGAAGTTTTCTTCTATCATCCACAAAACAACAGCTTATTTCTGGCAACGCCACATCAATTCGTCGATAACTCTCCTGCTGTTCTCAAGCGGCAAGCTGGTGCTCGCTCCGTGTTCGTTCGCTGCATCCAACACGGTCGCTTTATCAGTACCGACTCGGACTCGCTTCCCTTTCCACGCGTCACTCTGTGCGGTCTGTGCAGTAGAAACTCACTGATAGGAATGCCATAGTCGCCGAATCGTCATAGGAGTGCCATAGTTGCCGAATCGTCGCTCCCGTGTTCCCAGCGCAAGCCGGATCTGTGAACTGCTGGTAGAAGGTCGAACCGTGCCGCTAAAACAGCTGTGGGGGAGACGAGAAAACTTAAGGTGGAACTCTCGAGGGCCTCGCGAGTGAGACACACTGGGCGAGTGCCACTGGAACGAAGAATAGAGAGGCACAACGGACGCATAAGCAGGAAGGAGCGCAGAAAGCTGGCTGGTGCATAGCCAACCCCATCAGCCGGAATACCCACACCCAACGGCTCGCTCGGTCATTCCTACCCGTCCGCCCCGCAATTTCCATCGTCTAGCGCCGCCCACCCTCTCTCTCTCTCTCTCAACCTTGCGGCGGTCACGGAGCACATGGCTCAGCCGATGCCTCAGCCCATGAGCCAAGGCATGAACCAGGGAATGGGCCAAGCAGGCATGAGCCAAGGGATGAGTCAAGGCGGGATGAGTCAAGGCAGCATGAACCAGGCATCGGGGCAAGGCATGGGGTCTGGCCCTGGGGGTATGCTCCAACCCGCGCCGGTGATGCAGCAGTACGTGCAGCAGCCCAGCAGCGGGCCCGTGCCCGTACAGGCTCCCTCGCAGCCAGGTGAGGGGGGAGAGAGAACGGAGCAGAGGGTAGCAGGAAAGCGTGGGATGTTGTGAACGGGGGGGGGGGGGGAGGGGGAGGGGCAATGGATGGGATGGAAGGGAAGCAGGAGCGCGCGAGAGAGAGGGAAAAAGGGAGAGAGAGGACAGTGGGCCGGTCTAGTTTCCAATCCCAGGTTGTCTTATCTCTCAGATCCTCTCTTCCTACAGTGCGTTCTCATTGTCTCTCCCCCCTCCTCCGCTCCCCCCCTCAGACCATCGCATGCCCTCACCCTCCTCTCCTCCCCCTCCCCCCACCTCTCTCCCTTCCCCCCCCCCTCCCCCACCCCCCCTCTCCCCCCTCTCCCCCTCTCCCCCCCTCCCCCCCTCCTCCCCCTCCTCCCCCTCCCCCGCCTCCTACCCCCTCTCTCCGTGCAGCGGCTCAGTCGCAGATCGTGTGCACGGGGTGCCGCACGCTGCTCGTGTACCCCAACAACGCGTCCAATGTGCGCTGTGCTCTCTGCAGCACCATCACGCCCGTGCCACAAGCAGGTCACCTCTGAATCCCCCTCCCGTGCTCCTTTCCCCCTGCTGTGTATCCTTCCTCTCTCCCCCTTCCCCCATGCTCTGATGCATCATCAGCAGCCGCCTGCGTTTTTCCGCCCTGCTGCTCTCCCATGCGTAGCGTCCTCCTCCCTCGCTGGATCACCCCATCCTCCATGCTCCCCCATCCTCTCATCCACTCCTCTCCAAGCCACTCGCCTCCTCCCCTTCACTTCCTGCAAGTCTCGCTGCACATTATCCTCCCCCACGCTCCCCTGGCATGGAGATGGCGCAGCTGGTGCGACTTATCCCGCATGTCTCGCTGCGCATTGTCATCCCCCACTCCTTCTCTCACTCCCCAGGCACGGAGATGACGTAGCTTGTGTGACTTTTGAGTCGACTCAAAAGTCTCCCCTTCACACCCTGCATATCCTGCTGCGCATTGCCATCCCACTCACTCTCTCTCTCGCTCACTCCCCAGGCACGGAGATGGCGCAGCTGGTGTGCGGGGGCTGCCGCACGCTGCTCATGTACGTGCGCGGCGCCACCAGCGTGCAGTGCTCCTGCTGCCACACCGTCAACCTCTCCTCCGACCGTGAGTCACACCCACCTAGTGCGCTGCTCACTTCCCTTGTCGTCTCACTGCTCTTCTCTGCTTGCCGTAGGGCCCTGCCATTCTTGACTGGCACGTTCACAGCACTTGCTGTGCATGTAAACGGTATGGTAAGGTCCCCTGGAGCGCCTGTTTGCTGCTTATTGGTGCAGGGATTCACCATGCTTCAGAGTCTGCCAAGCAGTGGACTGGACTGTGCAAGGGGTGCCAGTTCTTCTGCCACCCTTTGATGACGACTCCCCGTTCCCCTCTCCATCTCCTTCCCCTTCTCTCCCCTTCCCCCTCCCCGTCTCCCCTTCCCCCTTCTCTCCCCCGTCTCCTCTCCCCGTCTCATCTACCCCTCCCCCCCCATGCAGCGAGCCACGTGGCGCACATCTACTGCGGGGGATGTGGCATGGCACTGGTGTACACGCTGGGAGTGCAGTGTCCTTGCGCCGTCTGCCAGTAATGCTGCCGCTGCCCCTCCGTACTGCCTCTCCATCCCCCGTCTCCATCCCCCTTCTCCTTCCCCCGTATCCATCTCCCTCCCCCCCCAGCGACCCACGTGGCGCACATCAACTGTGGGGGCTGTGGCATGACGCTGGTGTATGCGTTGGGTGCGCGCAGTGTCAAGTGTGCCGTCTGCCAGTTCGTCACACAAGTCATGGTGGGTGGGGATGGCAAGTCATGGTGGGTGGGGATGGCAAGTCATGGTGGGTGGGGATGGCAAGTCATGGTGGGTGGGGATGGCAAGTCATGGTGGGTGGGGATGGCAAGTCATGGTGAGTGGGGATGGCAAGTTATGGTGCTTTATGCAGGAGTCTGTTGCCCCACTCCTCTCATTGCTCCATGCTATCTCTGACCCCACACATTCTCTCTTTGTCTATCTATTGGTGGATCTTTTTCTGTCTCGCACGTTCATACAAATTCCGTGATTTCGTGTACGTGGCTTGGAGAGTGTGTGTATGTATGGCTAGAATATCCCGTTGCTACTTGCTTGCCAACTTGCTTCTGGTGTGCAACAGGTGCCGCCAGGGAGTATGCAACCACTGCAGCAGCAGCAGCAGCAGACGCAGCAACACCCGCAGCAGCAGATGCAAGCACAGCAACAGCAGCAGCAGCAGCAGCAGCAAATGCAGGTACATGCATGCCAATTCCTTGCCTCCATGCACAGGGACTTATGCACCTTCCATGCGTTGTTCCCATGTTTCTTCCCTGCTTCTGTCATCTTTCCTTCACACTTCCCACTTCCTTCACACTTCCCACTTCCTTCACACTTCACACTTCCTTCACATCTCCCTTCACACTTCACCTCCCTTACCGATCGTCCGTCTCTCCTGTTAACACCCTCGTCTACCCCCCTCCCCTTGGTCTACTAGAGTTTTACACTTGGTTGAGACAGACAGGCACTGATTGGTACGCGAGGTGTAAACAAATTTACGAAAACGAAACGCATGTGGTGAGTCCTTTTTGTTTCGACAAAGGAGTCCAAACCAAGAAACAGGTTTGGGAAAGTTTGGTATGCACCAGGTTTAGCACATCGGACGGTGCATGCAAACTCCAGTTTTTTCGCGCAACAAATTTTCACTTCGTTTATAGCCATCGATTCAAACGCCCAGTCACTCAACCGTCAGATCGTAGGCTCTTGATGATCTAACGGTGCAGCAGTACCGTTCTTCCAAGAACTTGCGGATTCTCATATTGCATAACTAGTTTTATGATTGATCTTTCCCCCCCCAGCACATCACACTGTCCGAGGCATTTCCAAGCCTGTCACTTCACATTCGCCAGCTTAACTGGGTACCAAACATTTTACACTTGGTCACTTCCTAGAAATATGAGAAAGGGGCTTTAACCCTTTCCCCTTTACCATCCTCCCCTCTCTCTCCCCCCGTATCCTTGCACAGGGCATGGCCAACAGGACCTGATGCGCCCTGGCAGAGTGCTGAGAGCAGCGGTAACGCCGTTACAGTGCTACGGCATGTGGCAGAAGAGTGCAAGGACAAGCAGCGCAGTGGAGCAGCGAGCAGTGATGAAGTGCCGCTGTTGGCGCTGTGCTTCGTGTTAAGAGAATGGCGTTGCTGTCACCACGGTCCATGACTCAAAACGACTCGCCACAACCCACTGGGCTCACCACCATGGCCCACCACCACTACAGCAGGTGCAGTGCAGGAGTGGGTGCAGTGCGGTGCAGGAGGGGGTGCGTGCAGCACAGGAGGGGGTGCAACAGAGCACGGGCCAGCAAGCAGCCAGATCCGAAGGGGAGAAGTGCCATACGACGCTCTCTCGCTCATCTTCAACATTCAATTTTGTAGGGGCTTGTAGAAAATTTTAGGCACAGGGGGGTTTCAAGTGAGTTGGCATTGAGTAGGCACAGCAACAAAATGCGTGGTGGGCTATCGTCTCGTCTGTTACATTACCAGCTGTGTATACACAGAACCAAGTAGCAGTACCGCCCCTCCAGTAGTTGCTGTAACATTCCCAGTTGTGCCTCCCAACGAACCTCGCTACACACCTTGGTCAGAACTCAGAAGCCAAACTCTCTGTTTTACGAGAAATAGTTGTACTATGCGCAGAAGATTTGGCACAATTGTCAATGTGAGAACGAATAATTACTAGAAGTGGAAACCTAGAACAAATACTAGTTGGTTGTACTCACTAGAAGCATACCTCGGTCTAGCCTATAACTTCTACATAGATAATATGTATAAGTTGACACACCCCCTAGGCTAGACAAGGGGTGAAACTAAACAAGAAGCAAACAGCTCAGGGCGGCACTACTAGTCCAACCACTGAGGCAGGGGTCTGGAGACCAGTCAGCAAGAATACAACCAAAACTGAAGCAAGCCAGGGTGGCACTACTAGTCCAGCCACCGGAGGTAAGGCCACAAGGCCAGTCTGACAAGCATATATAATAGAGAGTACACAATCAGGATCCTAACAGGGGAGCAGCTACAGGAACAAGACCAAGCTGTACACAGTGCCGCTGATGATCTTTAGGCGCAAGCGCCTTAGTAAAGATATCAGCTGTGTTGGCACCTGAGGCCAAGTGAACTACGCGGGCCTGGCGACGCTGCTGTAGCTCGCGCAGGAGGAAGTACCGCAGCTGGATATGCTTCGCTCTGCCCTCAAGCCGAGGCTCCTGACACAGGAGTATCATGGCCCTGTTGTCAGCGTACAGGACCGGGGCAGAGCTAGGCCGCTCACCTAAGTCTGTGAGCAAGAAGGTCAGCCAGCGGAGCTCCTGTGCCGCCATGGCACCAGCGTAGATCTCAGCCTCACAGCTAGACTGAGCCACAGACGACGAGCGAGTGGATCTCCAAGAGATAGCACCCGAACCAAGGCTGAAACAGTAGCCCTGCGACGACCTGAGCGTTTCAGAGTCGTCTGCCCAAGAAGCGTCTGTGTGCCCAGTAAGGACCACTGGCCTGCGTCCTCCTAGCACTAACCCCATGCCTGATGCACTCGCAAGATAACGCAAAACCCTCTTAGCGGCAGACCAGTGCTGAGGTCGGTGTCTGCCTGTAGCCACAAAGCGAGCCAGGATGCTGAGAGGGTATGCGAGATCTGGGCGAGTGCAAGTCATCAGGTACATGAGGCAACCCACCAGCTCTGCGTAGGGGCCACTGGGCTCTACTGGCTCCTCAGGAACGGAAGCAGAGAGCCCATGGTCTACGGGTAGAGGTGTGGGCTGTGCGGAGGAGAACTGAAGACCGAACCTCTGAAGGACCTGACGCACCAAGTGTGACTAGGTCAGAGTGATGGTGCGTGCTGCTCTGTCCCTAGAGATCTGCAGGCCAAGATAGCGACGCAGCTCTCCAAGGTCAGTGCAGGTGTGTCTCTTCAGCAGCTCAGCCTTCACAGAGGCCAGTGCGTCCCTGTCAGGAGTAGCGAAGACCAGGTCGTCTACGTAGACAAGGATGTAGAACGGAGTCTGGCCGGAACGCACAAACAGTGAAGGGTCAGCAGAGGAGGGAAAGAACTGCAGGTCTGCTAACGTGGCACGTAGCGTGTCGTGCCACTCGCAGGGAGCCTGACGCAGGCCGTAGACTGGGCGCCTGAGAAGCCACTGGGTCCCAGGAGGGAAGGTACCAGTGAAGCCCTGTGGTCGGCGCAGGTAGACCTGCTCGTGTAGGCTGCCCTGAAGAAAGGCAGTAGAGAAGTCGAGGGAGTGAAGCTCGTAGTCACGCTGTGCTGCTACGTGTAGCAGCGCCCGAAGAGTGGTCATCTTCGGGGTCGGGGCGAAGGTCTGGAAGAAGTCAACCCCCTCGCGCTGACTGAAACCTCTGGCCACGTAGCGCGCCTTGAAGACAGGCGGCTCTCCAGGGGGGCGCTTCACCTTGAAGAGCCACCGACCATCGACTACGTTCACCCCAGGCGGGGAACTGCGTCGACGTAAGTGCCGGTGGACCTCCAAGATGCCATCTCCTGCTCCATGGCAGCTATCCACTGAGAGGCCCAAGGTCCCGAGGTGGCCTCAGCGTAGGTGCGAGGGGTCGGGATGTCGAAGGCGTCTGGGTCACCCTCAGGGACTAACAGCATGGAGCAGAGATGGGGAGCAGCCTCGGAAAGGAAAGCCAGCTCGTACTGCCTGTCCTCTAGGACGTCATTGCCAAGGGCAGGAGCACCCCCGACGGACGGAGGACGGGCAGGGTCAGAGACCAGAGCGGTAGCGTAGTCAAGGCGGCGGGTAGAGGCGAAGGCAGCGACAGCAGCGACAAGCGCGTCAAGGCGCGAGACAGGAACAGCAGGGTCGGTAACAAGAGAGGCAAGGACCCGAGGGACAAGGGACGAGCAGCACGGAGGTAGTCAGAGAACGGATGAGGTGCAACAGCAAGGGACGAGGGAGGAGGGACGGGAGGAGGGGAGGACGAGACGAGCGGGAACGGAGCAACATAGGGTGGGTGGGCAGGACAGGAGAGACGGGACGAGCACGGGAGGGACGGCGAGCCCAAACGTGAGACGGAGGTGTAGGGTCAGGGGACAGCGGAGGAGACACAGGAGGGGAACGAGAAGGAAGACGGGCCGGAGACGAGTCCGGCGGCGGGAACACAGGACCGTAGACAGGAAGCTCAGCAGGCGGTGGGGGAGACACCGGCGCGCGGTCCGGGGAGGGAAGGCCGAGCAGGCGGAGAGCGAAGACCGGCGGCGACGGCTGCTGTGGCGGCGACGACGGCTGGGCCGGAACTCTCGGACCAGCAGAGGCGGAACGACCGTCGGCAGAACACTCAACAGCAGCACCCCCAGAACTAACACCCCCAGAGCGAGAACCCCCTCCAACACCAGCGGCACCCCCAGAAGCCGCAGGACGAACACCCTCCTCTACACCAGCACCCCCAGGGGCCAAGACGGCGCGGCAGTGGCGGCGACGGCTGCGGCGGCGACGACAGCGGCGACGGCTGCGGCAGCGACGGCGACGGCGGCGGCAGCGGGGTCGGCGACTGCGACAGTGGGGGCGGAGGCACCGGGGAAGGGGGACGCGGCAAGGACGGACCAGGGGTACCACCAAAGTCAGCAGACTCCTCAACGGGGACAACCGACGGGAGGGGAGTGACGTGAGAGACACCAGACGGGGCAGGACGAGGCGGGAGAGGGGCAGGGGCTACCGGGGGAGAGGGAGCAAGGAACAGGGGGGGGGCAACTGGGAGACCTCGGTGAGGGAAGCGGCGGTAGAAGGAGACGGACTCGTCAAAGGTGACGTCACGAGAGTGGAGGAAGCGGTGAGACGGCGGGGGGTAGAAAAGCCAGTCAGACGAGTCCAGGGGGAAACCGAGGAAGACACAGGGGAGAGTGTGGGCAGTGAGCTTGTCCGTGCCAGAGGCACGAACGTGAGCAAGGCAGCCCCAGACGTGGAACGCAGACGCGTCACCGGGGGACCCGGTCCAAAGGAGGGTCGGCGAAACCTGCGGCCGCTGGGAGCGTGGCCACAGGTTAAGCTGTTGAGCAGCGTAGCGAACAGCGAACGGCCACAGAAAAAGAGGGGCATCGGTATGGATCATGGAGGTACGGGCGACCTCCATGACCAAGCCGATGCGGCGCTCAGCAACCCCATTTTGCTGTGGCGAGTCCGGCAACGTGTACGACTGGGTGATGCCCTCCGCACGACAGAACTGTCCAAGCCGACCAGAGGCGAACTCGCCGCCACGGTCGGAGTGGAGACACAACACGGGGAGACCGCGGTGGAGACGCGCAGCCACAACCCACGGGAGAAGAACGTCGGGCACGTCGGCCTTCCGCTCCAGGGGAAACACCGTGGTGTAGCGCGTGTAGTCGTCGACGAGCACAAGGAAGTAGCGCTCACCGCGCGGTCCGGGGACGGGGCAGGGCCCCAAACGTCCAGGTGCAGGGTCTGAAGGGGGGCAGTAGCAGGACGCAGCGAGGAGGAGTGAGGAGCACGGCGGAGCCGACCCTCGACGCAAGGCGTGCACGGTGGCGCAGTCGAGGGAGGAAGGGCAGGGAGCGACGCGGGGAGACCTAAGACAAGACCGTGCTGGGACATGTGACGCAGACGTGGGAGAGCAGGGTGACCTAAGCGGTGGTGCCAGAGAAGGGAGGGGTGAGTGAGGACCGACACGCGCAAGCTGCAGCGACCTGGGAGGACGCACCAACCGGGGGGAAGCGGTGTCTAGGGTAAACAGACCGGACACCGGGTCCCGGGGGAACGTCGCAAGGGGGGAACCTGAGACAGCCTCAGAACAGACAGCGAACCGCTCGTGCCCGGGGAACGTGGTGGTGACGCCGAGGTCCTGGAGACAGCCGACACCAACCAGGTTCCTGGAGAACGAGGGAACGTGGAGGCCAGTAAGGGAGCCCGAGGGAACTGCCGGACAGGGAAGGGACGTAGAACTGCGCGCGACGACAGGACCCGCAGAGGGGTCAGCGAGAGAGACAACAACAGGTGCAGCAAGCGGCATGAGCGTGGAACGGTCGCGGAAGAAGCAGGCAGAAGCACCGGAGTCGAGAGTGAAGGACAGCGACGCAGTGGCGGAGGCCGGGGACGGAGCCGGTGTAGCGACTAGACTAGGCAACCTAGGCAGTCCTACGCCTGACGCAGCAGGGGAGGCTAAGCTACACAGTGGTGCAACACCTAAACTAGAGTACACAGGGTAATAAGATCCAGTAAAACTAGAAGCGTCAGAATACAAAGCATGCAAAGCAGCACCTAGCTGATCCATGTCTAACTCAAAGATCGGCACGCCCTGGCGGAGCAGGCTGTGCCAGTCGGGGAGGTCCGGGGCCGGGCCAAAGCGACGACGAAAGAGATCGTCGAGGCGGCGGAAACAGCGGGCGGTCGGGTGCGGGCGGCGGCACAGAGTGCCGCGAAGAGGCCCGGTCTGAAGCTGGTACTGGCAGGTGACAGCACCGGAGCCGCGGTAGACGCCAAGCTGCGCGGGCCGCCACCACGGCCACTACCTCCAGAGGTGCCGGGCCAACCAGGCGGGAGACGGGCCCATTGCTGCGGCGACTGCTGCTGGGACGGTGACTGCTGCTGGGGCGGCGGCT